ACCAACACTGTGTTTGCTGCCAGCGTATATTACACTAGTTAATTAATTAATGATAAAGACTATTAATATTACATTACAAAAGAACACATTAAAATGCACAGTGAACCCTCCAGATAGTCTATTTATTTGAAAACGTTACGTTCTCTGTGAAGTCTGTTGGCACACGGAGAACCTTCTCGGTATTCCTCTGCTGCTCGTCTCTCTTTCTATGAATAACTGTTTACAGTTGAACTTGGCCGTACTTTCCACACTAAAATTAGCAGCTTCTGTAAACACAGAAGCCACGACAACAGTCATCCTTCAGTCAGTGTTTGAACCCCAACCGTATTGTTTACGTCTTTGGTTCTCATTCTTCATCTCTAGTGTCGGATTCAGTGATCCCTCGACACATCGTAGACAGTCAGAACCGCTGTATTTTAAACATATCGTCTTTTCCTCAGGGCGATACTGGGACATGGTGGAGAGACTTAAGATCAACCAGTTTTACGGGGCCCCAACAGCAATCCGCCTGCTGCTGAAGTTCGGAGACGACTGGGTGAACAAATACGACCGCTCCTCCCTCAAAACGCTGGGCTCTGGTATGTGAAACATGACGCTCAGAGATGGTTTGAGTTTGTTGCCACCTGGTTTGCATGTATGTAGTCGACGGTCAGCTCTGCTTTTTAGGTAGTGTGTTGTGGAAACGCAGTCTTCCAAGAACCCTTCAGCTCTAATCCAAACAGAGGAGGAGATGTTAAACATGTGTAAAGTGCAGCCCACCAAAAAAAAAACAATCTGTAGAGGATGATGTACAAAGTCACTTTGACGTATTTTTGAATGCAACCGCAATACAAACATATGGCCAGAGGTAGAACAAGAAATGGAATTATTGTTTGGTTTGAGATTAATTCTGTTTTTGGATCTATGCACTTTGGTAAAATAACAAACAAACTCAATATTGGGTGTCTTCATGAAGTAAAATTTGTAGCTCGCAAAAAGCAGGAACTGAGAAATGTAAGGAAATCAACAGCCAGCAATCATTAGAGAAATGTACGATATGGAAAAACCGACCTGTTCTTGATGAAATTTGTATTAGTCCAAATAATCATTCCACAAAAATATGGATATGACATATGCATATTTTCTTTTCTCTGCTCAATATGTGTACACTGGGTTTGTATGTGGATTTGTTGGGTAAATGTTCTGTCTCACGTCCTGTTTTTTGGACTATGAGGAAAGTAACCCAAACAAAAAGCACACAGCTGATAACATGAGAGCTCTGTGTCTCCTGGTGTCTGTTCAGTCCTCCTGGGCATCCGTGATCCAATAAACCAAAACCTAGACTAATCAAGCAACAAAAAGCAGGGTCGAGAAACATTCAAACGAGCAGCACAAGCAATCAGACAGACTTTTTAAAGAATATATAAACTTTATTGATCCTGCTGGGGGAAATTCTCTTTTAACGTATCACAGGGAGCTGGAGGAGTGCAGGATCAGATCCTAAGGCGCTCCTGCAGCAGATCGGTTTAAGGGCCTTGCAGTATTTAGGTGTGACCCTCTGATCACAAAGCTGTAGCCACTGAGCCAGCACTAAAACACATCGACGAGGATGGGATTCGAACCCACGCGTGCAGAGCACAATGGATTAGCAGTCCATCGCCTTAACCACTCGGCCACCTCGTCTGGTCATGTGCAGTCACACAATGCTGTGATCAGCAACAACAACAACTGTGAACTCTAAAATTACTGCCTCGACTGTAGGAAACAACTACTTATAAAATTTGTAGAGCTACTTCCATATCCTGTTTCCACCCACCACACTATGTACACAAACACAGCTTTTTAATTTGATAGATTGAAAAAGGTGTCCATCTCTGTTACATTACAAACTGGATGTTCCTGAACATTGTCAGGGACTCCTCACACCCTCTCCATGAACTGTTTGAACTGCTGTCATCAGGAAAACGTTTCCAGAGCGTTAGAGGAAGAACCTCCAGACTGATCCAAAACTTCAAACCACAAGCTGTCAGAATGCGGAACTGCTGATCCAGATATGCACATGATTCTTTATTTAAATTGCTTTAAGTGATTGGATCCTGATCTCTCATCCTGCCTGGACTGCTGTGTCTGTACAGCAACATGACAATAAACTGGATTTGATTTAAAACTGGTTTAAGATAAATACTGTTTAGCAAATGAATTATGAGCACAAATGGGACAGTAGGGTTTTTATTTGGTCTTTTATTGGAGACAGAATCTTTCTATTAGGGGTCGACCAGAGTTGTTGCTGATTATTATTAATCAAGTAGCCTATTAACCAATAATCGGATCTGATATATATTTGTTATATTTATATTAGCTAGGTTAGGTTCCATAATTTATCTTAATTTTCTTATGACATTAGGTGGGTTATTTTAGTAATCTCTTGAGCCCAACTTGTTACTAACCTGGTCAGCGTGTCATGCTAAGCAGCTGCCAGTCAAACACAGTGTGTGCATAGGACACGTTACAAAGTCACACGAAAGGCTTCACCTCTAATGAGGGAAGTGTTTGCGTCCTGCAGGAGAGAGTTATGAGACAAATTCCTTTACCGTGCACGTGTCACATGCTTGACATATACTCAGAGTCAAGCAGGCCTGGTCCAGTACGTCAGAGTCGCCCTCAGCGTCCGAAGCAACGTCCAGACACCTGTTTTCCTGGAACGTGAAGCGTCATTTATGACAAACGAGAAACATGAAGAACTTAGATCCTCCTCCTAACCAACCTTTCTTCTCCTTGAACCATAGCTATACAGCGCCCTCCATAATCATTGGCTGGTTAAGATGTGTTCTTTAGCTTCTAGTAAATTCATTTTTTTCTAAATAATATAGGACCACAATGAAAAAAAAGCTGAAAATTCAACCTTTAATTCAAGTGCATTTGTTCAGTGTGAAAAAAATCCCACATTAAAAAATAATTCTTTTACATCAAATCATGTGTGCCACGATTATTAGCACCCTGGATGTTGATACTTTGTACCAACAATTCATTTGAGTTGAGTTGAAGGTTACATTTTTCTACAATTTTCAGTGTGAGAGGATGCTTCTGCTATAAAAATTGAATTTATTTTAAGGCTTTTAACACATCTTAACCAGGGGTGCCAATAATTATAGAGGGCGCTGTATACATTTATGTCTAAATATATACATTGGACTAAAAAAAATGTTCGAAACATAACAGTATATCATTGACGTTGTCCTTGTCTGTCTGCAGTGGGTGAGCCGATCAACACTGAGGCGTGGGAGTGGTACTACAGAGTGGTCGGGGAGGAGCGCTGCCCTGTGGTGGACACCTGGTGGCAAACCGGTAACTGTCTGTTTGAAACACTATTTTAAAGCAGAATCAAAACGTCAGTTTAGTTATTCCATTGCATGGGGTTTAGGTTTTTCCCTTCAGTGTTTAAAGTTCTATAATTAGGGTCCGAGCACTAACAGTGCAAGGACCCTATTGAAACCCTTGTGATTCTTATTAGGGTCCGAGCACCCAAAAGGGTGCGAAGACCCTATTGGAACTGCTCGGATTATTATTATTATTATTATTATTAGGGTCCGAGCACCAAAGGGTGCGAAGACCCTATTGGAACTGCTCGGATTGTTATTATTATTCGTGCCAAAGACACGCGTTTTTGAGGCCCTAAACATACTCGAAAATTCACCAAAATTGCCATGTACATCAGACCCGGTGAAAAAT